CGGGCGACTTGGGTGCGGAGGGGGTCTGGGCGAGCGGAGAGGGGTCCCTGCGGTCTTGTCCCTCAGCCCCCCGGACGGAGCTATGGAGTCCCGGAGGCCTGACCCCGACCATGGGGCCGGAGCTGGGGCTATGGGCTCCCTGTGGTCCTGAGCGTCCCCGCAGGAGAGGGTTGGGGGCGGTGGCGGTCCCTGGTGTCCCGAACCCTCCAGTGGGACAGACCTGGGGGCTATGAAGGTCTTCTTGCGTCATGAGCCCTCCCGTCCGGGATAGGGAAGGGGTCTGTGGGTGTCCTGGGACATTGTCATTCTCTAAGGATGGAATTGGGCATCTCTGGGGTCTTGTCCTCCTGTGGGATAGTCTGCTTGCTCGGGGGGTTCTGGGGTCTGGTCACCCCATGCGCTAATGCTGAGGTTCATGGTGTCCCTGGAGTTGTGTTCCTTCCAAGAGATTAGAGCCAGGGTGTGGTGGGGGCTGCTTCCCCACCCTTCTCTGGCTGCTGCAGAGTTGCTGGGATGTGCAAGCAGAGCTGAGAAACACTGCTTGCCCTCTCTTCTCTGTGCCCTCCCTGCCCCCCAGCTGTGGCATGGGACAGTGAGTGGTGTAAGGGATGAAGCCTCTTCTGACCTCCTGGTCTATGTGTCTTCCTGCTGCAGGGATCCCATGGAGTGTTCTCAGGAACTACTCCTCCCCCAGCGCCAAGGAGAAAGCAGGGAGAAATGCCATCTGTGAGAGGATGGAGCTGCTGGAAGGTGAGTCAGGGAGGGCTGGGAGACCTGCAGGGGTTTCCGTTGTTCAGTGTCCTGTGAGGTTTTCTAGGAGTCTTCCCATTCTGTGTAGCCATAAAGGAGGTATTTGGGACTGGAAATACGTGTAGCCTGGACAAGGACATGAGACTTCCTATGGACTTGCCAGCCTCCCTGGACAAGTTCTCTCCTGTCCCAAGAACCTGGAGGCCCACTCTACCCACAGGGAGTGTTGAGTTGCTGTAAAACACGGGGTGGTCCTAAGAAATGGTAAAAGAGTCCCTCCAGGGCGTGCGAGGGCCCTACAGACTGACCTGGAACATGCTCTGGCTTGGGGCTCTCTGCCTGGGTGAGCTGAGGGCATGAGGTCCCTGGAGAGACCAGTGAAGTAACCAGGCAGCAGCTTAGGCAAGCATGAGCTGGTGTTTTTTCCCTTGCAGTGACATTGATGGGTTCCCCAGGATGCAGGGGTAGGACACAGCTTATGGGTGGATCTCAGAAAGACAGTGGTCAAAGCAGCTGATTGCTGGGAGGAGGGCTGGCCAAGGAGGGAAGGAGTCCTTGTGTAGACTGTCTTTTCCTGAGCATGTTCCTGGGTGCTCCCAGAGGCAAGGCCCTAGGGTAGGACACAACCTTCTGCCGTGCCTTGCATCCTTTCACCTCTCCCTGGCTGTGTGTTTCCCGGCAGTGCTGAAAGCTCGAGTGAAGCAGCTCCAAGCCAGTAATGTCCCGGAGGTGATGGTCAACAAAGCAGAGCTGGCCCCACTGGGGAATGATGGGTACCAGGACCCACTGCGGAAAGTGGTGGCTGCCAGCCCTGTGGAGGAGCAACCCACTCCCAGGGGAATGGATGAGAGTCCAGCCTGGCCCAGAAGCTGGGCTGAGAAGTTGAAGAAGGAGATGTACATCCGGCAGCTGAAGGTGGAGCGGAATTTATCCATCGCTGCCTCCCAGCTGCCTCTGGAGCGGAAGGCCAAGGCCAAGGCTAAAGCTGAGCGGAAGGCCAAGGCCAAGGCTAAAGCTGAGCGGAAGGCCAAGGCCAAGGCTAAAGCTGAGCGGAAGGCCAAGGCCAAGGCTAAAGCTGAGCGGAAGGCCAAGGCCAAGGCTAAAGCTGAGCGGAAGGCCAAGGCCGAGGCGAAAGGAAGGCCAAGGCCGAGGCCAAAGCTGAGCGCGAGGCGAAGGCCAAGGCCGAGGCCAAAGCTGAGCGCGAGGCGAAGCCCAAGGCCGAGGCCAAAGCGGAGGCCGAGGCGAAGGCCAAGGCCGAGGCCAAAGCGGAGCGGAAGGTGAAGGCCAAAGCTGAGGGCAAGAAGAGCCTGAAGAGCCCAAAGGCTAATGGGGCTGCTGCCTGGAGCCAGAGCCATGCTGGCTCCTGCAGGGTCTATGCCCATGGCAAGCCCAGGGTGGCAGCAGTGAAGAAGAGTGTAAAGGTGCAGAAGCCTCAGAGGGTGCTGGAGAACAAGGACAGCAGCCAGTACAAGATTCTGCAGCAGACCATCCAGTCCAATCTCGAATGCTTCCTCTTCTTGCAGCAACCAGAGGAGGCTGAGAGGTTCCTTCTCTTGTACCACAGCTCCCCTGCAAAGAGAAGGCATTTGAATGTCGATGCATACAACATTGTGATGCGCAGCTGGGCAAGAAAGGTACCAAGCTATGGGCTGCTGCCCTGGCCTGGGTGTCAGGTTTTCTGGGTGGCTGAGAGGGAGAGGGTGGCTGGCTCAGGAGGAAGAGACCCATGCTTGTAGAAGCAGTGGTCATGGTTTTATCTGTGTTTGTCACATCCGCCTTCAGCAAGTGTTCAAGGAGGGCTTGGCTTCAGCTGGAAGGGATGGAGCTGACAGGAGGCTGCTGGTTTCTGTGAGGTGGCTTCAGGAGGAAGAAGGGGATGGGGCAGGGTAGATGTGGCTGAAGTTGAACAACAGCAGAGAGGCATGAAGCTGTGATTTGCAGCTGCTGGTGTTCGTGCCCACAGCCTTCTTCCCTTCTCATCTGCAGGGATGCTTGCGGCGCATCGACCGGCTATTTTCCATGCTGGAGTCTGTCGGCCTCCAGCCCAGCCTGGACTCCTATGCGGCAGCACTGGAGTGCATGGGCCGGAACCAGTTGTCTGCCAAAGATGTCCAGAGGTAATGCACTTCACCTGCCTCAGGGTGCTGCCGAGCCCCAGGGCAGCATTTCCAGAGGCTGCCACTGCACTGTGAGAATGGGGAGCTCGCTCTGGGGACGAGATGCACTGGCCCAGGGTCAGGAAGACCTGCCGCTGCTGCATGCACGTCTGGATGCTCTGACCCATTTGCTGTGGCCAGATTTAGGGATGGGCAGAGCTCCCAAAGTGAGCCCTCCTTGCTACCCCCAGGTGCTAGGGAGTTTGTCTGAGATCTTGCAGGGAAGGGAGATGTAGGAGGTAAGAACAACCTTGCTTCTGGTCAGAGCTGCGTCTGCTCCCTCCAGAACTCACAGAGCAGCTCCTTGGGCTGGGAGCAGCCTTTCTTCAGTCAAGTACTCCTTGATTCTGTACCCATCCTGGGCATCTCGCTCCCACTGACCCCTCCATCACTGCCCAGTAGGAATGGCTCTTCCATTTGTTTTACCTCCATGGAGTTTGCCCTTCCTGGTAGGCTCAGCCAAAGAGCTGGTTTTTGCAGAGTGCCAGCTCTCTGGGGGAGTGTGATCAGGAGGTTCAGATGAATTTCATGGCACATAATGGGCAGGATAAGTGTCAGTCCTAAAATGAAGAGCTGAAGGAGCCCTGTGAAATCCCAACAGACTGGGTCTAGGGGCAGTGCTTCGGTCTGGTAGCACAGCCAGCTGCCCTGCCAGAGGATGGAGAAAGCTTTCTGGTCATCTGCTAACACTGCACAAACACCCTTGGGTGGTTCAGGGATTTATCACTGGCCTCGTGTGTCCCTTGGCTGGCTAACAAGTTCTAGATGACTCTGAGTGAATGTCTTCCAGTCAGCTGATTTAGAAGTGACTGCCATTGACTTTCCTGCCAGGGTGTGTGGGTGTTGCATCAATACAGCAGTACACCCGTAGGGCTGTCTACAGGCAGATGTTTATAGCACACCTGCATGGGTTTGTCAAACCCAAGCCTTGCCAGGGAGTGTGTGTTTCCCCACAACTGTTTCTGTTAGCTGGCACTGTGTGTGTGGGTATGAGCTCTCATTTCCCTTCCTCTCCTAAACGTGCTCTCCCAGTTGGACACAGCAGCGGCATGGCCTGGAGCGCTGAGCCTGTGCTGGGAGCGTACGAGGTGGGGGTTGTTTCTCTGTCTGCTCTCAGACTGCAGGGTCTCTTCGAGAGTGTAAGGTGGGAGTTGCTTGTTTTAACTGGGCTGCTGTGGGGTAGTTTTCAGGGAGAGTGGCTCTGTGGAGATGTAGAATTGTTCCTCTGAAGCTCCTGCCTGCTCCCAAATGTACTGAAATGCAGCTGGGGTGCATGCAGCAGCAGGATTCACAGCATGTTGTGGTTCTGGCTCAGGGTGCTGTTTGTCACATCTTGGGCTATTAATACTTTCCCAAAGCTGCCAGGGACTCCCTCTTGCCCATTTTGCTTTCTGTGGCTGATGGGGTCCTGGGCTGGGGCTTGGCTGGTGCCGTTGTCAGCCGGGTCTGCCTGTCCAGTGTCACCTGGTGCAGGCTGGGCCAGTTGGCAGGTGGGTCTCTGGGCTCTGCTGTGCCCCGGATCCCAGCTCCAGACCGGCACAGCCAGGAGGATGTGGTCCTGCAGCATCCTTTGTGGGGCTGGGGAGTGGGAGATCTTGGTGTGCATGCAGGGGGTTCTGGTCCCTGGCAGCGATGGGTGCTGCAGGGAAGAGCGCTTCCTTGCAGGTTCTGCAGCCACTGCGGGCGCTCAGGCTGTTCCTGCCACAGCTGTGCGAGCTGTGGTCCCGTGCCCTGGCTCCTGGGCTTGGTGCATGAACCGCAGTCCCTGCCCCTTTGCCCAAGCTGTGACCAGCCCCATGGGTTCCCTTCTGGTGGCTTGGGCTGGAGAGGAGGGCAGGATTATTTGAGGGTGAAAGAGTCTGCGTCTTTTTCCTTAGTCTCACAATGGCAGCAGAGCTCAGCCTCCTCACCGAGCATGAAGGTGAAAGCTGTCTGCTGAGCAGAGGTGAGGGCTGGAGGGGTGGATAATTGATTGCTGTAACCTGAGGCGGGTGACCTTGTCAGGGACAGGCTGTGCTCTGGAGGCAACTCCTACCCCAGCAGCTCCTGCAGCCCTAAGAGCTGGCTTCTGGCTGTGTGCAGAGGGCAGGGAGAGCTCCCGTGTTCCCACGGAACAGTACCCTGCTGCCAGGCTGCCTGAGATTCATCCTCTTGGAAGACTGAGGCATCTGCTTTCTGTGGGTTTCCTGGTTGTGCCCATTTCTGCACCGGTCTTCCCCTGTCTGGGGCTGAGCAGACGTCAGCTCAGTCAGGCACAAGTTGCTGCAAGGCTTTTGGTGGTTGCTGCATGAAGCATGGCTTTGAGGAGCATGCAGGAGAAGGGAAGAGGCATCCTAGGGCAAGTGCATGGGGCACATCCCACTCGCCAGGGCTGTCAGGGCCTTCCAATGAGCGTGAGAGGTTACACCCTTCTGCAGCTGCCCTGGCATGAAGGGTGGCACAAAGGAAAGCTGCTGGGAACCACCTGGCATGGGGAAGTTCCACCAGCCTGGCTGGAGCAGCCTGGAGCTGTGTATCAGTCTCCTGCCCTGTGCTCAGAGCTTATTCTTGGTGGGTGCCAGTGCCCAAGCTCTGCTTTGGGAGAGGGTTTTGCTTTTGTGGCTGGCAGGGGTGGCTCTTTGTCCTGTGGTGTGCCTCACATGGCTCTGGGTGATGCTGCTCAGGGCACAAGTGAGGAAGGAAAGCCTGATGCAGTCAAGACTCTTGGATCCTCAAAAGGTGTCACCCCCAATCTGTCTCCTCCATGCTTAGTCTTCTGTTTAAAAACTTCATTCCCTCCCTCCTTACGTGCTGATTTCTGTCCAACATGCACAGTCCCCTGTGAAAGATTAAGCCTATCCTATCTGCCCTTCCTCAGATGTCTGCAACAGCTGAAGAATGATGGCTTCCATGTGGACGAGCTCTTCCAAAAGTGCCTGTTTGAGAAAGATGAGAAGGAGAAGGTGCTGAGGGCCATCAGGATTGTCCAGCCTGACTACCAGCTGCCCCCTCCACCCAACCCCCAGACCTGCAAATCTTCTCTGCTCCAGGACTTCTACTCCAAAGTAAGCCATAGAGCTCAGGGATGTCTCTGCAGCTTGGAGATGTGTTGGAGCTGGCCAGATGGTGTTCACAGGTGTCCTCAGGTCCAGCCCAGGACTGCTGTATGGGAAGAACTTTGTAGCTTGATCTCTGCGCAACAGCCCACGTAACTCGTCAAGCAGCTCCTTGTTCCAAGGAAGCGAATATCCTTACCAACAGCCTTGCAGAGGAACAGAGAAGCAGAGGGCTGGCAGGGGGGCTGGAGATGACCTTCATACACTGGAGGGGGTGCTTGGGGGGATGCTTGACCGTGACACAGGAACAGAGCAGCCTCTGGAGAGGTCTGTTACTCTGTACTCCCTGGGGCGTGCTGGCCAGAGACTTCAGACGTCTGGACTCAGAGGTCCCAGAAAGTTGCTTTCAGCAGGGACTCGTGCCACATGCCTCTTGTAAGGAAGCTGGGAGAACGAGCACATCTCTTCCTCTGGCTTTTGGCACTTATTGTCTCACTCTTCTTGCAGGAGAAGATGGTGTCATACCCCAAGCTGGATTTCTCTGTGCAGGAGTTGCAGGAGCTCTTCCAGCAGCAGCTGGAGATGGAGCTGAACACCACCGTAACCATCAAGTCAGTGGAGTCAGCCAAACCTCTGCCACCGCAAGCCATTAAAGCGGTAAAGCTCAGGGAGTCTGAGGACTGCATGTCTGGAGGGGAGGGGGCAGTTCAACCCTTGGGACCTGTGGGAGAGATGCAGAGGTTGGTGGCCTAAAGAGGGGGGCAGCTCCCTGGTGACATGCTCACTACAGCATTACTGTCTTGCTTCCATTTCTGTGTAGCGCAATCTGCTGGCCACCCTTCGTTCCCAGTGGCACAGCTCTATCCTCCAGGCCCTGCAGAAGTCGAAGCGCAGCATGTCCAGGCTCAAGATGGCGTCAGGGTCCAACATTCTCTACCCCTACCTGTACCTGCTGCCGGATGAGGAGTACGTGGGCATCATGCTGCAGGTAGGGCCCTGCCCTCACAGTGCCACAGGAACAGGGCCACCTGGATAGCTGTAGGGCTGCCACAAAGTGCTGATGTCCTGCTCAGGCCAGCAGAATCAGAACATGAGCATCAAAGTTTGCCCAAGGTATTAGGTGCAGGCTCTGTCTGCTTCTTGTGCTGAGCAGTCAGAGAAGCCCCTGCTCTGTCTTGGCCATGTTTCCTTCCTCATCATCTGCTCAGCATCACAGGAATCAGCATCTTTCTATGCTCCCCACACAGGGGCTTTAACTCCTGTTTTGTCTCTCTGCTCCGTCTTTCTGTTCCTCACTCTTTAAGACCCTCTTTGCCTTCCCCTTTCTCAGATACTCAACACCCTCTCTCCGCAAGGAGAATCCGTGGCTGTCTTGGCCAGGGAGCTGGGCTCCAAAGTCTACAACAGATATATCACCCAGAGGAAGCTGTGCAGCCGCCAGCTGGAGAAGGTGCAGGAGGTCTATGAGGACTACATCCACCTGCTGGCGAAGGACAGCCAGGTGGGTACACCTGTGAGAGCGGGGTCCTGGGGCCTGCAGGCTACAGAGCGCAGAGCAGAGACAGGGTGAGGCAGTTGGTCCACCTCCTCGCAAGCTCAAGGTTCAGATTCTGGGAGTCTGCTGCTGAAGAGGCCGCCAGAACCAGTACGGCTCCATGTAGTGCTGGCAGGTCCCCTGCCCCATGGTGACAGGCAGGTCGGTTCTGGTCTAGCAGTGGGTATTTCTGAGCCTGAAGCTTTTAAATTGGCAGAGTTGATCCCTTGGAGCCAGGCATCCCGTGCAGGAGAGCTCTGGGTCTTGAGGAGGGTGTGCTTTGCAGGGTAGGAGGGGAGAAAGGGGCCAAGGCCATTGATCTGGGCAACTCGAGGGCTGGATGAGCAGGTCATTAGCTGAGCTGTATGCCTGTGGCATGGCAGGGGGAGGCAGAACTGCGGCCCGGGAGGGAGGGTCAGGATGGTGTAGGGGCAGGGTGTCAGCACAGGTATGTGGCGAGAGAAAGGGCTTTGTGGCATCACCGTCCTGGCCTGTAGCAGAAGCAAGTTCTTGCCGTTGGGCTTGCCCCAGCCATGTCAGCAGTCCTTCCCCAAGTACCCCTGTCAGGGAGGACCTCACAAGGACACTGAGGCAGGAGGGTCCTTCTCAGACACATGTTCCAGGTACATAGATCCCATCCAGCAAAACTCCTGGGAGCAGCATGGCTGGCCCCTCCAGCTGACACAATTTTCTCCTTCTGCCTCCCAGCCTGTTGAGTACTTGCCACGGGAATATTGGGAGAAGCTGGTGGCAGAAGCAGGCTTTGGGCCTTCCCTGAACTTGAAGGACTGCAGCTGGCCGTACGTGCTTCTCATGCGCTTGGGCATGCACCTGCTGGAAATCCTTGTGCAGGCTGTCAAAGTGCCCAGGAATATCCTCAATCCTCGCCTGGAGCCCAGGCTTATCCCCGTCCTCTACCATATCTACTCCTTTCGCAGCCGCTGGCAGGTGAGCCTCGTCCTGCGCGCTCTGGGACTGTGCGGGTCATCTCTTCATCAGAATTGGGCCTTTGCAAGGCCCTTTTCACTCCCTGCTGCCTTTCCTGCTCAGGGACACTTGGAGGAGCCTCTGGTTCTGTGCGGATGGTGTCGGTACCTAGCATGATTGTTCTGTAATAGCTGATTGACCCCATGCTCTTCTGAACTCCTGCCCTAGTCCTCTACTGCTGACCTTCACCTCTCTGATTCTCCTCTCTAGGTTGGGCTGATAAAGCCTCATCCTGTCTTCTCTCAGATTGTGTCAGATGCTGCAGAGACCATGCTGACCTTTAACTCCTCTGCCATACCTATGCTGTGCCCCCCAGTGCCCTGGACCTCTCCCCATTTTGGTGCCTTTGTCCTGAACGACACCAGGTTGATGCGCTTTGTGGATGGGGCCATCCAGCACCAGCTGCTCCTAGAACAGTGTCCTCCGGTGAACCTCCACCCTGTGCTGGATGCCCTCAACCAGCTGGGCAACTGTGCCTGGAAGATTAACCAGCCGGTGCTAGATATCATAATCTCCATCTTTAATGACAAAGGCAATGAGAAGCTGGACATCCCACCGCCCATCTCTGAGGCCCCCCAGCCTCCTGCTGCTCCCAGCAATTCCTCTACCTGGAACAAGTCCCAGAAGCATGAGTTCTTGCTGTGCAAGAAGAAGGCAGCTGAAATGCACAGCTTGCGCATGGATGCGCTCTATAAGCTTTCCATTGCCAACTATGTGAGGGACAAGGTGTTCTGGTTTCCTCACAACATGGATTTCCGAGGCAGGACTTACCCTTGCCCACCTTATTTCAACCACCTTGGTAATGATGTCACCCGGGCCATCCTGCTTTTTGCAGAGGGAAGGCCACTGGGGCCCAAGGGCCTTGACTGGCTGAAGATCCACCTCATTAACCTCACAGGGCTGAAGAAGAAGAATGCCTTGCAAGAGCGGCTGGAGTATGCCAATGAAATCATGGAGGAGATCCTGGACTCAGCTGACTACCCGCTCACGGTACGTGGGGAATGGCTGGCAGGGCTCTGCTCGCTTTCGGGGTGGAGTGGTGGGACCCAGAACCACGGGGGAACAGCGTGGGCTCCAGGAACTTGCAGTGAGCCCCTGGCAGGTTGGGATGTTCCCCTTCAACAACTGGACTGAAAAGCAGGGAAGTTCCTCTGTGGTTGAATCCAAATAGGAATTGTCCAACTATACTAAGAAAAATGGGATCCATGTCATCTTTAATTTCAGAGCAGATTTAACCATTTCTCTTACTTAGCATAGCTTCTAGAAAGTAAAATAAAATGGAAATCAGATTGATTTTGAAACGAAAATATTTTGAAAGGTAACAGTTTGAGAGGAAAAAGGGAAACAAAACGTTTCAGCGTTTCCTAAATAACACATTTCTATCTCAAAACACAATGAAGTATTAGGGAAATTGAGGCTTGGTGGGAGGAGGTGCCTCGCCCAGTATATCCCTAGAGTGCGGGGGCTCCTGCCTTTGCTTTGGGGTGCCACAAAAGTACTGCCCACTCCTACCAGCGTGTGCTTTCCTGTTCCCAGGGCAGGAAGTGGTGGATGAACACTGACGAACCCTGGCAAGCCTTGGCGTGCTGTATGGAAATCGCCAAAGCCTCGAGGTCCCCAGATCCGGCAGCCTACATCTCTCACTTCCCGGTTCACCAGGTGGGAGCCCAACCGATCTGCATGGCCCGTGCGGCTGAGCCGGGAGAGGAAAACTGGCAGGGCAGAAGCATCCAGGTCTCCAATGCTGCATTTACTACACCACATGTAGAGCCTGTCTGGGAGATTGCCATCAGCTGCCCGCAGGCTGAGAGCTGGGCCAGTCTTCCCTTCTCCAGCCACAGGATCAGGACTGGAAGTCGGGCTGACCCCGGCTGTGTGGGATGTGGTGTGTGTGCATGGCAGCCCCTGCCCATCTGAAGTGCTCGGGGCTGTGCTGAGGCTTTGGGGGCCTTTGCTCCACTCCTGTTCTGGGGCTGAAGCCACGCGCAACTCTGCAGGAGCAAAAGATGGGAGGCCTGGACCTCTGAAGAAGGGCAGGGGGACAGAGCTGATCTGTCCCCTGCATTTAATGACGTGGCTGTCATTCACCACATGCCCTGTCACTGCTTGGCCCCAGACATGCCCATGCTCTGAGTGGGGCAAGTGCAGTTGCTCAGGTGCTGCTCAGCTCTCTGAAGGCATCTGTCCTTCCCGGCCAGAGAGAGGAGCCAGGCAGCCACTCCTGTTAGCCAGCGCTTGGACCTCTCTCCCTGCCACGTCCCAGCAGATCCGCAGCTCTCTGCAGCCGCTGCCCAGCCATGGCATCTGCAATGATAAATCCCTCTGCTGCATGGGAGACAATGATTAATTGTTTTCCTGGTGAGAGGGGTTTGCTTATTTATCATTTATCTCATTAGAAGATCAGATGGCCCTGATGAAGGAGCAGGGGGGGGAATGGGGGTGTGTTCTGCCAGTAGTGATGGTCTGGAATATGTATGAGACCATCTAAACTGATATTGTTATGACAAACAAAAGATCAAGAGAGCAGTCGGGGGTGTGTGGAGGGTGCCGTTAATGAAATTCAAGCAAGGACTTCTTCTGGAGGGCACCCGAGTCTCTTTCCACCTGAGTCATCAGTGCTTGGTTGTTAGAGGCAGCTCTTCCGTGGCAGGGATGCTGGAGCCTTGTCAGTTCTCGGCTCGCAACTTGCTGCACTGCAGGGTGTGGGGAGGAGGGGGAAGAGGAAAGTTCATCCTGCTGGCAGCTGCAGGCTCCTTTTGACCAGGCAGAGCCCAAGCACGGGAGGAGCAGAGATGGTCCAAAGCAGCAGCACATCTGTGAGAAGCGTTTCTGCTGGTGCTGTTTGGGGAACAGTAGGACCTTCCCAGGCCATTGTTCAGGTCCTGCTTATCTTGTCCAGACTGATCTTAGTCCCAGGGGGTTTGTCAGGGCAGCAGCTGCGACAGATCGGTTGGCGTGCCTCTGTAACTGCAGCTTTGGGAAGGGCTGGGTCAGAGCTGGTTTCTGTCAGAAGGATGTTTTCATCAGCCATGGAGCAGAGGCAGCACAGCCAGCTGGAGCCTTGGAGTCAGCTGTGGCTTGCTGAGTGATCTTTGGCGTGGCCTGCCACCTCCTGCCTCTGATCCCACTCCTGGCTCTTCTGAGGTGGCTTTGACTGCTGGCTCCTGGGGCTTCTTTTAGCATCCCAGGCAGATTTGTTGTTTTCCAAATTTTCTGGTTTTCAGTGTTTCACAGAGCTCTGATGTCTTTGAAAATTCATGGAGGGGGCAGTGTGATGTGAGGTTTTCTTTTTTTAAATCTCATAGGCAGCAGTAGTTAGTGATGAGACCCAGACAGGAAAACTGCCTAGAAGGAAAATGGAAACTGGTGTGGCCCTGGCCGCTGCTGGGAGATCAGCTGCAAACCTGTCTGAAGAGAGGAGGCCAAAAATGGCAATAACCTTCTGAGCCAAGTATATCTGCGCTGTTGGGCGCGGGCAGATGAGCGGGGCTCCATCCACATGCTAACACCATGTTTCCACCCTGCTCTCTTCCCACACGCAGGACGGCTCTTGCAATGGTCTGCAGCACTATGCAGCTCTTGGCCGGGACCTTATTGGCGCCATCTCCGTCAATCTGATGCCCTGCAATGTCCCCCAGGATGTCTACAGTGCAGTGGCCCAGCAGGTGAGGCACAGCGGGACGAGCACATGGAGGGTGCATGGCTTGCTCAGAGTTATCATTGGGGGTGGCAGAGGCAGGGGAACCTGAGTCCTGAGCCACAGGACTATGTCCTTGTGTTGTCCAGCACCACCCAGCTGCCAAGTGACGCTGCTCTGCTGAGGCAGCAGTGGAAGGCTCTGGTCCCTGTGGGCGCAGCTATCTGTGAGATGCGGATGCCTCTTGATTCCTTCAGCAGATGATCTCTGTTAACCGGGGCTGCTGAAGATGGGCTGCAGGGTTTCTGATGGGGGTTTGGGCCAGGCAGCGCACATCTGGGAGGGTCTCCTGTGATCCCCCTGACTCTCCTCCAGCTGTGGAGGGGGCTTGGGCCAGTATGGCTTGCAGTGGGCCTGACCTCTGGGGGCACTCTCCTGCTCAGGTGGAGGAGTTTCGGAAGAAGGATGCTGACCAGGGGGTGAAGATTGCCCAGGTGCTGCAAGGCTTTGTGAGCCGCAAGGTGGTGAAGCAGACGGTGATGACGGTGGTGTACGGTGTCACACGCTATGGCGGGCGGCTGCAGATGGAGAAGCGTCTCAAGGAGATTGAAGAGTTCCCTGAGGTAGCATGCCCGCCCTGGCTTCCCCCAGCAGTGTTTTGCTCAGCTCTCAGGCCCTGCTGGGAGAGGTACCTGCACTGCCCTTCCTGTGGCTTTTCTTCCTGCCTTGCCCTCTCCATACCCCCCCCAAATCTCAGCTAGCAGAGGGATATGCAGGACTGAGCCCCCCTGCCTGTGCCAGGCTTGTCCAGCCTGCAGGAGAGCTGTCTGCCAGCACTTGGCAGGGGGGAGGGATTCTTCAGGTGGGGCTGCTCCTTATCCTTCCTGGGCCCAGCTTGGTGGCGTGGCAGCCTCAGCTGGTGTTTCAGATGCAAAACAAGATTTGTGGCTGTGCTCTTCCCTCTGGACGTGGCTCTTATTTCTAGCAGAGCTCTTGGAGGCTTGCTCCTCCTGGTGCCCATTTCTTGTTCTGTGACCCCACAGTGAGACAGTCCTTGCTGAGTGGGTGATTTGCTGTGGCAGCTGGGTGCTGGGAGTGTTTCTGCCATGTGCTGCATTCCTGGGGCAGATGAGGCAGCAAGAGCCTCCTGTTTGTCCAGGGAGGCTGGACACAGAGATCAGCCTGTCCTTGGACAAGAAGTCCGAAATGCTGATCTCAGCCTCCCTCCATCACAACCCACAGCCATCTGCAACACCTCAAGACTTAGCATGGTCTGTGATGGAGGCAATTTTGTGGCACCAGAGAGCAGGGAGATGCTCTTTAATCTTACCCTAGGTCCCATCACTTTGCTTAGCATCTTCTGCTGCCCCTTTGCCTGACCCCTCTGCCTTTGTCTGTGCAGGAGTACTTGTGGGAAGCATCTCACTACCTTGTAAAGCAGGTGTTCAATGGCATCAAGGAGATGTTCTCAGCAACTCGAGATATCCAGGTAAGGTGCCTGTTTCCTCTTATCTCTCTCTGCTTTTTCTTCCCTGGCCCACCTATACATAGACCGGGGGATGCTCCATGGGGAGAGATCATTCTGGATCCTGACCCAGAGAGGATCCTCTGGTCCCAGAGGTGTGGGATTGTGCCTGCTGCAGGGCTAAACTCCCTTGCAAGCACTGGACTGTCACAGTCAGTGGCAGGAGTCAGGCTCGCCTATGCTGGGAGGGGATGGGGTCTCCCAGCAGCCCATACTAATCCCAGCTGCCTTCTTCCCCACTTCCCTGTGCTAAAGAAATGGCTGACGGAGAGTGCCAAGCTCATTGCCCAGTCAGGACAGACAGTAGAGTGGATCACGCCGCTGGGTCTCCCCATCGTGCAGCCCTACTATCGGTCCAAGTCCACTGTGGTGAGTATCTGGTGTGCAGGATTCATCTACCCCTCTGCCATGGTGGGGAGCAGGGAGAGGGCAGCTGGGCTTTGAGGCAGCAAGCTAAAGCCTGGCAGATCAGCATCACCTGCAGGTGAGCCTGCAGAGCAGGTAGGATTTGTGTGTGCAGGCACATCCTCCAGCGTCATTGCTCCCTGCAGAGATGAGTGTGTGGGTGAGCTGGTGAGGAAGCTCTGCTGCTCCTGTCCCACTAAGGCAGCCAGGGCACAGGCCCGTTCCCCGCACCGAGGAGCTTTCTTCAGGGCTCACGTGATTCAGTCTCGCTGCTCTCGCCTCCCACGCGCTGCTGCACTGACTCACGTCTTCTCCAGCCTGTCTCATCCTCACAGCCGCTCACCTCCAGGAGCCTTTCTCTTAGCCCTCACAGGGGTGAATCAGTGTATCACTGGGAAGGGGTGAAGGATGCCTGCCCAGCATCCTCAGGAGGGGAAGCAGGCAAGGTGTCACTGAGGAGTGACAGCTGCCATGGTGACTGGGAAGCCCTGGAAAGGTCCCTCCCTGCCCAGGCCCCTTGTTGCAGCAAGGGATGTTTCCTGCAGAGCAGAGTAGCTCGTGGTCAGCGCGATCCCCTCTCCAGGAGTACAGGGCAGTGCGGAGTGCCTTCTGCTGGCTGGGCGGTGCGGTGTGACAGCTGATCCTCTTTCTCTCTCTCTCTGCAGCTGAATTGCAGCATGCAGAACTTGAGTGTGAAAAGCTCCAACAGCAACCAGTGAGTATGAAACCACAGTCTTTACTTGAGCCCCTGCTGATCCCAGCCTGTGCTTTGGGGACATAACTTTCCCATCAGTGGAACTTGCTAATGAGTGCCAAAGCTCTTGGTATCGCCCTGAGCTGCAGAAAGCCAGCTGGAGGAGTGGGGCCTTGTGCTTCAGCAGG